AGTAATTATAAAAGACATGAAAGAAGTCACACTGGGGAGAAACCTTACGTGTGCAAGCACTGTGGCAAGGCATTCAGTATACGCCAAAATTGCCAAAAGCATGAAAGAACTCACTCTAGGGAGAAACCTTATGCATGCAAACAATGTGGGAAAACATTCACTACAAAGAGTTATTATAAGAGACATGAAGCAAGTCACAATGGGGAGAAACCTTATGTGTGTAAGCAATGTGGAAAAGCATTCATTACACACCAGTCTTGTCAAGTACATGAAAGAAGACACACTGCTGAAAAACATTAAGTGCACAGTCAGTGGGGAAAGGCATTCACTACACACCCATTATGTCAAAGACATGAAAAACTCAACACATGGTAGAAAGTATTTCTGCAAGCAATGTGGAAATGTATTCACTACAGAGAGTTACAAAACACATGAAAAAAGTAACACGAGATAGAGAGTATTTGTGCAATCAATGTGGAAAGGCATTCACTACACACCAATCTTGTCAAAGACATGAAACAAATCACACTGGGGAGAGACGTTATGTGTGCAAGCAATGTGGGAAGTTATTTACTACTAAGAATTCTTGTAGCATACATGAAGGAACTCACACAGGAGAAAGCACATGCATGTGAGCTGTGTGGAATGAGATTTACTAGTATCTCCTCATTTTATATACATAGATCCCATGTTGGGGCATAACCCTGTCTTTGTAAATAATGTGAGGAAAGGATTCATTGAACATATTTTTTAACAACTCCATGAAAGAAGTCAAACTAGAGAGTGACCCTATATATTTAAGCTTATTTTTCAAAAAAACTGGGGAAAATTCCTCATGTAGTGGAGACCTGTACTCATAAATAAAAAATTTATGTCAATATTTCTTCATTGGTTTTTTTAGAAAATCCACTCCCAGATAAAGATCTCCTAGAATGTATTCTTTCTGTTTTTCAGTAAATAAGTTATAAGTAATGGACCTGTGTGTGTACCCTTTACTAGAAACAATATTGACATGATATATTGTTATATAAGCCATTGTCTTTGAACGTTATTTTTTTTAATAAAACAAGATGAATTAAAATATATATCCAACTTCCAAGTAGGGTTAGCATTTTATATAACATTGTTTTGTTTTTAATATAATGAGGTATAGGCTGCAAACAAATTTTCTTAATAGTTTTTAAATTGTGATTTCCCACTACCTTTGATTATAATTTTCCTGATGTTTACACTTCATATTCTGTATATAAATAGGTAATTTTGAATTTGATGTTGTATATGTAAATGTGTGCATATTTTGAGACGTGAACATGTAGTTTTTTAAAAGTTCCTTTGTTTATGCACAATGTGCAGATTAGGAAATCTTCATTATTTATGTCTTAAATACATACCTGCATATATCTCAACATAATTATATAAAGCAAATAATTGTACCTGTTGTGCTTTAATGTTCAAGTCAGTACTGTGATTTACATAATTTTTTTCTTAGCATCCATGTTTTACTATTCATGCTTATATTGTTATGATTTTTAATTTGGTCATAATTTTAACACAATTTACACACAAAAAATCATACTCCTGTTACTTTTTGATTGTGACACATCGGATTGACTGTGTCTTCTCTAATAAAGGATATGACTTGTAAGAGTGTATCAGCCAGTGCTTACTAGAGAAACACCTTTGATAGAGATGCAAATGTGTAAGCATTTTCAAGATTGGCTTGCAATGTCTTTACACAAACTCAGATGTGGAAGAGTGCAGATGGTCTATCTGTGCACTGGATGTCCAAAAAAATCCAGTTCAAGGCTTAGGGCCCACTTTTTTTGTCCCATGTGAGTCTATGTCAGCAGACCAAAGGATCGGTGCCAGAAGACTGAACGGTCTGAGCTAGAGGCTGAAGAGTCAGTGCTGGCAGCCAGGAGATGCCTTCCAGTGTGACAGTGAACGCTGCAGCGCCTACACTGAAACACATGTAAGCTGCCTTTTTTATTTCTTTTTTATAACAATCTGGCAGCAATCCTTCTTATGGTAGGTCTTCCACATTCATAATTTGCTGGGCAAATTTAGTTGTGCATGTAGTACTCAGCTTGAAAAAAATCAACTGTCACTATCTACCCCTTGACAAATTCACAACTACACACATTTCTTTAAACCATAGTCTCCAGATACAAAGATGAGTTCAAAACTATACCTAACATTGTTATAACTGCTCTGCAAACAAATGGAAATGCATTAGCTCCCCTGCCCAGAATAAGGGGAATTTTCTTTTGGTGATGCTTACTTCTAGTATTTCATAACTGGCACACTGTAACAGTTTTATAAGCAATAGTAAGTCTATTAACATACTGGTAGGATATTAAAAAACTATTATATTCTTCATTTCTCTAGCTGATCATGGGGCTATATCCTGTATTTAGAGCTACTTGTGTGACCCATTCTGTATTCCTTAGTGTTTAGGAGGCACCTCAGCAGTTCTTGGTTCTTTCACTGATGTGGAGACCCTTCCCTTCATTCGTGAAGGTTGTGGACCATTTGACATTCTGCCTCAATTACACTGTTATAGCTCCCCATTGACTTATAAAACAGCATGGCAATATAAGGAGACACCCTAATGGATCCTCTGCATTCCAAGTATATTCTTTCTTTCCTTCATTGTGGGGTAATAGACTAATTTTCCCTTAAAACTCTGGGGCAATCACCTCTCTAAACTCTGTAACTCATTTTTTAGTTTCTTTTCTCAGAGTGGTGAGACAGAAATGACCAGGGGGAAGTCTTCCAGTTCATAGGCATCACTGTGCTTTCTGGTACAAGCCTCCTTCCCCACCAGAACTAAGACTTCATTCTAAGTCAGAAGAACATAAGGTCATGATAAGAGGATGTAAATTTTTGCTATTAGATCACTATGGGTAACAGTGAGTGGTACTGCTCTTATTTCCACCCTTTCACTCGTGGACCCATGACTTCTGGCTGGAGTAGACTCCATACAGTATAGTGGATGCTGACTCAAAGCATATACACAGCCTTTTGAAGATCCTTGCCCAGTACTGCAAGCTATTGCTACATGACTAGTGTCAAAACTGTGTCTTTAAAGGTCATTCGAAATTTCTCTTAATCCACCTTCTTCATTGATGGTGAGGAATGTGATAACATCACTGAATTCCATGAGAATGAGACCATCACCTCATTTCTTTGGGCATGAAATATATTCTTCGTGTTCCTGGTACCGGAGGGGGGGAAAAAAAAAAAAACCTAACAAATATATTCTTTGTGGTTGGAGTCAATGCTGTTTTGAAATCCATAGTGGTGGATAAGGCATTATATGAATCAATGGGTGGGAGTTTTGCCAGAAGTATGACATGCAGGCAAGGTAAATCCATATCTAGTAAAAGTATTCAAGTAAGGATAAAACACACCCCTTCCATGATGGGAGCAGTCCAGTCTAATCACGCGGCCACCAGATTGAAGGCTGATCACCTGAAGGAATGGTGCCGTATTGGGGAAACAGTGTTAGTCTGTGCTGTCGGCATATTACGTATACAGAAGTGGATGTAACCAGAACAGCCTCTGTGACTGGCAGTCCATGTCACTGAGCATGGAAAACATGAATTCTTGCCAAAATGCCCATTCTGTTCATTAGCCCATTGGGCAAAGAAATGGGTGGCAGATGAGAGTTGACTACTGTCTACAAAAGTGTTATCCAGTTAATTGTTAGAGTCGTCTTCTATCTAGGTCAAATTTTCTTCTGCTCAGTGTTTATTTGGGGTACAAATCTATTTACATCCCTTGCCTGTATAGATAGGTCAGTCCACATCCTTTATCCCCAAATATCTTTGTCACCAATTTTCCACTTCTGTTCCACCACATTTCTGAACACCCAACCAGATCTTTGGCTACATCCCATGAATCAGGGTACAGTTGCATATCTGGCCATTTTTCCTCCAAGATAAAATGTACTACCAGGCACACTGCCCAAAGTGGTTCACTGTGAAGATTTCCCTTCACTGGTGTCAACCAGAGATGTCCTGGAAAGTGATGGTAATGCTGCAACACTTGCAGGTGGAGCTTATAGAACATGCAGAACCATCCCTTAACAGTGGCTAGATGTTCTTCCTCTAACAGCTATACATGTACAAACCATAAGGCAATAGGTGCATGTTGAGAAAGAAGGTCTCACTGTGCTTTCTCGTACAAGCCTCTTTCCCCCGAGAGCTAAGACTTCATTCTAAGCCAGAAGAACATAAGGTCAGGAGAAGAGGATGTAAATTTTTGCTATTAGATCACTTTGGGTAACAGTGAGTGGTACCGCTCTTATTTCCACCCTTTCATTCGTGGACCCATGACTTGCTGCAGTAGACTCCATACAGTATAGTGGATGCTGACTCAGCATATACACAGCCTTTTGAAGATCCTTGCCCAGTACCTTCATATAGCAGAGACCTTCATATAGCAGATGTAGGAGCCACAGGTATATGAGGAAGTGCATCAGCTAACTTTCTTCTACCCTCTGGATCTGCTCTGTGTTGATCAAATATAGAGTTTACCATTAATGATAGATTGCTGTTATGCAAAACACACTTAATGACTTGGTGGATCAGACAACCCAACTGATGCTGAGCAGCTCAGGTTGCATGGTAACCTGGTGTCCCATGGTGAAGCCTTCAGTTTCCACTATGGCCCAGTTGTGGGGAGCATCTGAGCCGGAGTGCAATCATATGTAGTGCTAAAGCAAGGCCAGCCCCATAAACACAGCATGCCCAAGATGAGGCAAACTCAGAAGTTGTTATGCAGGTCCTCTCTCCCATTAGCAAAGGGGTTTCACCTGTTACCAACATCTTGCCAATGGTATAAATAAATGCAGTGCAGTCCTTAGGCAGTTCCCTTCACCCAGAAAGACAGTGAGCTCAACCTGATCTCAGCTTTCTGCATTCTAACTTTTGTCTTTGTTTCTTCATCCTCCACCATCGTCCCCTAAAAATTTCAAGAGCTCCACAAGATGGAGCACACAGCAACATTCCAAGAACAATGCTTCAAAGGGAGGGTAGTTCTCTGCAATTTATGGAAGTCTTTCTCCAAAATTCTAAATGTTTCCATAGCAATTGACATATGAGGGCATCCCAGAGACTATGGGGAGACTGGAGACACTACCTGCCACTGACCACTGACACCTGAAATACCACTGAATTGCTGGACCATGTGACCCTCATGGCAGAGCCCCCTGCACAGCAGCATGGACCTGTTGCAGACCCTTTTCTTCTTCAGGGCCCTACTCAAACCAAGCAGCTTTCTGAGTCACTCAGTCAATGAGCTTGAGTAAAGGACCTAAGTGAGGAATGAGTTGTGCATCTTTTTTGTTGTTAGGGGAAGCAAAATTAACAACTGTTTTACCTTAGAAGGGATATTCATACAGGCCCTACATTTTTCAACTGCTAGAAATTTCACTGAGTTAGACTACCTTGAATTTGAGTATGACTTATTTCCCATCCTCTGGCTCTCAGATTTTTAACTAACAAATCCACAGTGGTTTTTAACTCCTTAGTTGGTCCAGTTGGTTTAATATGTGAAGCCTGGTGGAAGAGAAAGACGATGAAGATCCCAGCAGACTAAGGTGTGACACAGGTCTGGATAGTTAATACTGTCCTGAGATAGGATAGTGAAATTTATTGCTGGTCTTCCTCTCTGAAAGCAAAGCATTTCATACAAGCCATGTGGATAGGTATGAAGAAGGAAGACATTTGTCAAATCAATAGTCATGTACCAAGAACAAATGATGAACTGATCTTCTCAAGCACAGACACCACATCTGGGACAGGAGCTGCAGTAGAAAATTTAGACAAGTTTTTAGTTCTGGAAATTTTGAGACCTGGTGAGCCAAAAGCAGGTCCTAGTGGGCCGCAGGCTCTGCCAATGGAAAAAAGCACAGCAGAGAGTTAGACTCCTGATGTTCTTATGAAGAGGCTTCTCCTTCAAGCAATAACCACCTTCTATTTCATCCTCCCTTTCTACAAGCCAAGGATGTGAACTTGAACTGTGAGTGCAGTAGGGAATTATTTCTGGTAAAATAGACACAATTGGTAACTTTTTGGTGAATACAATAGAAATGAGCAGTAATGAGTCACTGTTCTGTCAGAATCAGGAACCGCAGATGGACAAGTCGTGATTTTAAAATATATTCAACAACGTAAATGAGATATTTAGTATTTTACTATGAATTATGCTTTGTGTTACATAAGTTTCCCCAAATACAGACATGGATTGGTGTGGTGAGCAAGTTTAAAGGACCCAAGGCTCACTACTGATGTTTGCTTGATCAGGTATATTTTGTGTTTTTTTCAATAAATTTTATTTTCAACTTCCTTTGGGTTGATCAAGATATTTTCTCTTTCAAACTCAAGTAGTATCTGTAGACTCATTTTTTCAACTCTTTATATGTTCCTGTGTAGTGCCTGATATTTACCAGATTGTTTTCTGATTTTGTGTTTTGTTCTCATCTTTATTTTAAGATAAGGTCTCAGCATGTAGTTCTGGATGGACTTAAACTCACCGTGTAGCCGAGCCTGGCCACAAATTCAAGAGATCCTCCTGCCTCTGTCTCCCATGTGCAAGGATTATAGGTGCTTGCCACCATGCCCAGCATTTTTCCTGTTTTGTGTGCTATGCTAACCAGATTCTTCATAGCAACTAAATCAGGAAAATAATATAAAACTGTTTGCAAAGGGCAGTACTACTTTGGTGATTTTTCTTTGTTTTAGGATTTTGCAGGTGTGTGCATGTGTGAGTTTTATGCAGAGGTGCCTTACTCTGTCCATACTGTTTGGCAAACATCACCAAAATGAGCAACAGATCAAATTTTATACTTCTTATACCTCTTATTATAAATAAGCTAGTGAAAACTTTTGTTGGTTAAGTAATAGAGATTTCTTGTAATAAGAAGAAGGAATAAACCTTTTTACCCCTGTGAAAGCAAAGACAGTCATTTAAATGGGCCCTAGGCTGACGGTTTATCTGATTGGGATATCCAGGTATACAGGCTATTCATTTTTGTTTGAAAGCCATAGTTGTTGGATAGTCACAGGCAAGGTAATTTTCACTGTTTCCAGGGGAGTGAGCTGGCCAGGTTTGGGTGTAGAAAGAGGTCTTCTCTGAGAACAGTGGCCAGCTTGCAAGAGGCTCTGAGAGAAATCAAGATAAGCGGCAGTCCTCTGGGGACTGGGCTGTGTATAGTTTGAATACGTGCTTTTCCTTTTTTATTAATGGGTTTAAAGTTAACTTTTGGACAGTAGTAGGAAAACTGGGGTGTTAAAGAGGCTAAAGAGATAGACCTCAGATGCTGACTCACCTGGAAGAGGTCTGATAGGGAGGAACAGGACAAGGGAGTAGCAGTCTGGACTGAGTGTGGCAGGGTGGCCAGTGAGATTTCAGAGAGAATGGGAGTTAGAAGCTCAGTAGATAGCTTGAGCTTTGTGCATGGGGGCCTAGGATAGCGGCTCGGGGTGGGTAGTTCGGCTAGGTTGGGCATGGATCAGTTAGCTAGTGGAGGCAGGTAGTCACAGTGGTGGCAGGGGAAGGGAACCTAGGGGTCGTTCTACAGGTTGGCTGGTGGTGGTCATAGCCTGGGACCCTGGGGCTGGGGATTTAACTCAGCGGCACAGCGCCTGCCTGGCAAGCGCAAGGTTGTGAGTTCTATTCCCGGTACAGGAAAAACAAAACAAAACAAAACAAAAAAAAAATTCAGGTATTTTCTGGAAAAGTCTTAAGTTGGTCTGAAGGAGTTTGAATGCTTGCTTGTCTTTTATCTGTACTCTTTTGCAGAATATTACTCCCATGAGACTGCAGTTTTTTATTTACAAATATTGTATTCTTCTTAGGGCCTTATATTCATTTTCATACATGAAAATGAGCAGGTTTTTTGTTTTGTTTTGTTTTTTGTCTTTTGGAGACAGTGTCTCGCTATGCAGTTCAGGCTGGCCTTCAACTCATTTTGTAGACCAGGCTGGCCTCAAACTCGCAGCAATCCTCCTGCCTCAGCCTCCCGAGTGCTGAGATTACAGGTGTGCGCCACCATGCCCGGGAAAAATGAGTAGATTGACAGTGTGAAAAACTTGGCAATGAAAAAGATTCATGTCCAACACTAGGTTTTAGCCACTATTCCATTTTGTAGTAGGGTTACCTAGACTCACGATGTTTTCTGGCATCAAGGGATTGGTTTTTCGTTAGGAATTTTTTTTGGGGGGTGGGGCGTCTTTTTGAGACAGGGTCTCGCTGTGCAGTTCAGGCTGGCCTTGAGCTCACTTTGTAGCCCAGGCTAATCTTGAACTTGCAATGTTCCTCATGCCTCAGCCTCCCGAGTGCTGGGATAACAGGCATGGGCCACCACGCCCGGCCTCAATAGAGTACTGACCCTAGAAATTTCTTTCTTTTTTTTTTGGTACCGGATATCAAACTCAGGACTACGTGCTTGCCAGGCAGGCTCTGCGACACTGAACTACATCCCAGCAGCAACCCTGGCACTTTCTGAGCACATTTGTGACACATTTGCAGGAAGAATGCACTCAGTACATTAAGAAAACCACGCAAGTTTTGAAAGGCCAGAATGGAGGATTTTAAGTGCAAGCATTCTTGATGCGAGGGAAGATTGGCATCATAGGAGAGAGACTGGACCAGAATTTCCTGCGTTAGAATTTATCATTTGACTTCCACCCCAGCTGGAAGAAGTTTGTTGCTCTTCTTAAGTTCAACCTGGGCTCACAGTGGAGCAGGAGCCAATCAGAGGCGAAGGCGTGACTGTCTGTATTACCCAATCAGAAAGTACAGGGAGGAGGGTTCTTCCGGTGTCATGGCGCCATAGGACAGAGATCGTCCGTCTGACTAGACCGTCGTTTTCTGTAACTTCAAACGGCTGCAACTTGCCTTCAAAAGATTCTGTGAGATTCTTATGCCACAAATGGTGACGTTGTGGGATGGGTGCGAGGATGGAATGGAATCGGGTAAGTCTGGAAGGAAGGGGCCATCACAAACTATGGCTATCAGTAGTCTCTGCTTCAGTCCGGAATGCGACGTCTTCGGTTCTGGATCATCATCTGTCCCTTTCCCGCTTTGCTCAGGCAGGGGCAGTTCCGGGTCCCCATCATCCTGTCCGCACGGTGACATTCCCAATCCAGAAAGCCTTCTTGGGTGGCCCCAGGCACAGCTGTTTCTCCACCAGTCTGCGGAGAGCTGGGGAATTGGGGAAACCTTGGTTTCCATACTCAGCAATGAAAAACAATAGTCACTGTAATTATTTACATGAGACCTCTACTCACTATGGTGTTACTGCGTGAGCAGTCCGTATAGTCTCAACATTGAGAAAGAGGTTGTGAAACAAACGGAAGCTGTTAGGAGAGATTTGACTGGAAATACTAAGAAAAACTCTTGGTTTCCATGGAGCGGTGATTTTGCTGCTGTCATTCCAGAGGTATAGATAATCAGAGCACAGTAATTGCTCACTTGTTTAACACCTATCGAAGAAGTCCCTGGACTTAAAACAACTACTTTGTTTTTTTCTGTTTTTTTTTTTTTTTTCCTATTTATATCCATTTTCTTTTTTAATTTGAAAGATAAAAGAACGAAAACATATTAACAAACACAGAGTTTATGTCTGTGTGTTTGTTAAAATAACTACTTTGAGCTCAGGATCTCTAATCAATTTCCTCAGCATGCACCGTTTAAAAAAGACTAGACTTTTAGAGAATAAGCTGGTTATTCTGTATTTTAAGTTCCTGAAAACTCAGTAGCTTAGTAGACAACGGCTGCAGCTCCTTGGGAGTAGCTGCATTATTTGTTGGGCAGAAAATTTACACTTGGGTGAAACGTCTAGGTAATTCTCATTTCAGCTCTTCTAAAAATGTCTCATTTCCCAGCTGTTATCTCAGGCCCTTCCTGAGCTAGGTGTCTTATTTATATGCTAGTGAAAGAAACTATTCTTTACTTTTAGACTATTTAAGTGAGGCGCTCTATACAGTTTAGAATGCTGAGAAGAATGAAGGGAAAGTAATGTATTATCAAGGGAGGGGAAAACATTTCTTCCTAGGAGAACTTCCTGAAAGAGCTGCCTGTTAAACCCACATGTAGAAATGCACTGAACTGTGGCATCTACAGGGACATACATGCATGATATTGGTATGATTGGAAAGGGAAAGGGGTTTCATCTCTGAAATAATTAAAGTGTTCTGTGTACTGTTTGTAGACATTGTTTTTAAAACTGAAGCAATGGACATTAATGGACATTGTGAAAACAAATGTGGAGCCTGTTGTGGTGGAGCAGACTTGTAATCCTTGAACTCAGGAAGCTGAGGCAGGAGGATCCTTTGAGTTGAAGGACAGTATGGTACATACTGAGTGCAAGCCTGAACTGCATAGTAAGACTCTGCCTAAAAAAAAAACAAAGAACAAAACAAGTTTGAAGGAGGTCTAAATTCCCATAGTTAAGGTCTGCAGGCGTATGAATGAATAGAATAAAAGGGTATTTTGAATAAGCAAGAGGAAAGATGAGTAAAAAGGAAATGCGACTGCAGGGGACTGTGGAGAGGGG